ACTATCTTCTATTGGTGATTAGGGTTTTTATTGGTGGATATGGCAAGACATAATAGTCTCAACACATGATAAGAATTTAAGGTGCCATTAGAAGATGAGAGATGAAACAAAATGACGAGGTTTCATGTTAGAGTGGTAAAGAAATCATTGATTTTATTTATTTTGCGTGAAGGTCTCCATGGTACTTAATACTTTCAACAAAAGAAAACACATTGTTTTCTTATCCAAACCAACATCGCCATGTATCCCCGTAAAAAATGCCAACCAAATGCTAGCTAAATATGAGACAAGGCACATGGTTCAACCAAGAACCATCCCACATTTCTAACTTTATTCTGCTACATCTTTCTTTCCCATCTCGCAAGGCGACTAGGACAAAGCCTTCCTCCTCACGATCTCCGTTGGCGAGCCTGTGGATTCTCCTCCCCTCTACCTGCTGTTCCGGCGGTCAGTGGTGGGGAGGGGAATCCTAGTGCCTCAGTGATTACCTTTGATCCGATTTTGAACGTAGATAGTTCTAAACTTACCTAGAGTGGCCCTAGGTTATCAAACCCAGGAGAAGTCATGCCTCGGAGAGTTGATTTCTGCAAGAATTTTTTACTACAAGTGTTCCAGTTTCCCGGACTTTAAAGGAAGAAACAATCCTGTGCTTGCGCTCGAGATCCTATCTATATACTCAACATGGTACTAGTAAACACATTTACTTACCTGTTGTCAACATGTTACTTATGGGAGATGCATCCAAATAACCCCACGACCGACCGCCGTGTCCAGGTTCTACTGTCCAACAAAGGCCCTACCATCTTGCGGGGTTACATCAGTTACTAAGGAATTAATCAGACCAACTCATTGGGTGTTTAACGACTACACCTTATGTACCCCCAAAGAATAGGTTCTAGCTACCGCACTAATCTTACTATCACCAACGTTCGGTATAGCCTTTTGCTCCTCTATGAACTTAACCTCTCGTTGATAGATCCTCGGTATCCCGGTGACCTGTGGTGACTTAGAACAAGATAGAGACAAGAGATAAAAACTGTCGTGAAAACCCACATCAAATAACGTTAATGTTAAAGTAAACCAACAATCGCTTAGTGCACATACATGGGGCTGCGAGGCTAGGCCTCAACCCTTAGTCCGAGAGGACCACTCACACATCGTAGATGAATCAGAAACACCAGACATTGTAGAAATTGATACTTGATGATGAATGATTATAGTCTTCCAATGCTTGCAGAATGCGATGTTCTCCTGATTACAAGTGTAATGGCTATGGAGATGGGGATTATGGAGATGGAGAGTGGCTATGGAGATGGTGTGGTGGCTGCTGTAGATGAGAATGGTGGCGACGGTTGTGAAGGGTCTTTGGTGGGGCCATCAGGGCTTTATTGCAAAATTTTCACCCCCAACCAACAGGTGAGGCTATCAGTGTTTTACTGTGAAATGTCACATCACCTCGCCACGTTGTCCTTACGATTGTCGCCCACTTAGCGGTTGGACCGGTCAATTGTATGCCAGCTAAACAAAATATGTACACAAAAACATATCAAGGACTTTATGTAAACCCCTTTAGCGAGTTTAATGACCGTATTTTAGGTATTTTAAAGTACAGGGACTAAACTGGGTTCTAGAACAAGTTGAAGTTTTCTCTTCGGCCGCATATCTAAGCAGGTTGTGAGACGTGAGATCTGCTCACCAGGCGCGGCCAGCCCCAGGTTTTCCATGAGCACAGGTTGAGCCTTCTTGACCGCATTCATATCTGACTACTGTGTTATTTTAGTTAAAAAAAGGGTGATGGACACTACTACCATTTTCGTTTAGTACTCCGTATAAAGTTGATGTGACGTTTAACACTGACGTTGGACGGGTCGACAGCGTGTGCGTGCGGCCCCGTGGATGGTGACCATGCCGATGCCGATACGGCCGGGGATCGACGGCGTCCCTGCTGGCTTACGTGCGCCGCGTGGGCTTCGTCGCCCGTGGGTCTGTCCGTGTCGACGGAGTCCGGCCGCGCGGTGGACTCGCGCGTGGCGACGTCGGTCGGTGCTGTGCTGGCTGCGTGCATGCACGCACGCACGGACGGACGAAGCTGCCAATGGGCTTTCTGGATGAGTGGTCACTTTTGCTGGACATGCACATGTACGTGGAACGTGGCCGGTTGCATGGCCCTGTCGATCCCATCCCATGACTGCCGCGCGCGGAGAAGCCGGCTCAAACGGGCGACCGGTGCCGCCACGCGCACGTGCGCCTGGGGTTGGTGGAGCCGCAGCTTAACGCGCGTGCGCGCCGTCGATCGGCTCGCCGGCCGGCGGAGCCAAGATTAGTCCACGCACTTTCCACGTGCGCGCGCTGCCCTCCTGCTCGCGCATGCAGGCGGCTGGAGGCCCCGGTTGCACGCGCATGGAAGCCGCGCGGGAGCTCGACAGCATGGTTGGGCAGATTTTTGAACGTAGCTGGTAGATTCACTTTTGTCTCGTCTGCCCATGTATACGCTATCCTTCTAGGGTCTTTCAAGAGGAATCAAAAAGAAATATGATAGATCTAGATATATGTTTTTACTTAGTGGCGAGAAGGAGAAGAGAAAATACCATATACTCCCTCCGTTCCGATTTACTCGTCGTGGTTTTAGTTCAAAATTTGAACTAAAACCACGACGAGTAAATCGGAACGGAGGGAGTATATGCTTGGCTCCGTGTCTACCTACCAAAGGATTTAGGTGGTCTTGGGATTTTGGATTTGGAATTGATGAATGTTGCTCTGTTAGCTAAATGTCTTTAGAAACTTTTTAATGAACATGGTCTCCGGCATGATTTTCTATGCGCAAAATATGTTGCTAGTTCTACTCTTGGTCAGGTTCAACTTAGATGAGGGGACTCACATTTTAGGCAGGGTTTGCTAAAAATTAAAGGGCTCTTCCTGTCTAGATTCTGGGAAGATAGATGGCTGGGAAATGAAAGCCTATCTCAAACCTTCCCAAGACTTTATAGTATTTCTCTTGATCATAACATTACTGTACATGATGTTTTTACTGGTTGTCTCTCCAAACTTTCTTTTCGGAGGGCCTTGGTTGGGGAGAAGGAGATCCTTTGGTCTAAATTACTAGACACATGTGCCCCTGTTACTTTGTCTGAATCTGAAGATAAATTGTCTTGGATTATAGACAAATCTGGAGTATACCGGTTTAAAATCCTTCTACTCGGCTATGTAGGTTGGATGTAAAGTCCCTTACAGATTTTCGTGGAAAGTTAAAATTCCTTCTAGAATCAGAATGTTCATATGGTTAGTGCTGAGGAAAAGCATATTGACCAAAGATGTTCTACTATATTTGTTTTGTGGACAAAAAGAAACGATTGATCATCTCTTCTTTGAATGTCCCCTTGCAAGTTAAATTTGGTGTGTGATGAAATGTAGTTTTGGTGTTGATTGTTCTTTTATGGACACAGAAGTTTGTTTTACTGTTTGGCTTAAAAACTTACCTACCCAGAGAAGGAAGCTATACTCAGTGGGAGTGGCAGCTGTTCCTGGGGAATTCGGACAGCCAGGAATCTAGCATGCTTTGAGCTTAAATGGCCATCTGATCCATTTGTTGTGATGTTTAGGGTAGCCCACTGGATTGAGTTCACTACAGATGAAGGAGGACGCAAAGGTGGCGCTCTGACAGGGCACAAAAATTCTGAAACGAGTCGCAACTAATGTGTTCCAAGCCAGTGCCATGGATCCCTCGACTGGAAGATGGGGGTTGAGTCTGGAGTGCACGGAGAGATGTTGTGTAATAACAAAAGCCGGATTACTTTGAGTTTTGTTTTGTTCTAGCTTGAGTTAACTTTGGTTGGTCAGGTCCACCTAGTCTATACTTGTAACCAAGGATTTGGTCACCGAGCGAAAAAATCCGTTACCGCCCGGTAACCACGAATCTTGGTACCGCACGAGAAATCTCATTACCAGGCAAAAAAACCCTGATTTTGTGAATTTTGAATGAATTTTATTTGAATCCGGAATCCATTAAAAAAATTGTTGCTAACTTCCCAGCGTTTTCCAGTTACCTTGGTGTAGCTGAAAGTCTCAGTGCTACACCAATCTTTTCTTTTCTTTCGGAATCCAAATCCTTGCTTCCAACAGGTTTTTCTTTTTGAGGGAAAGCAACTTTAGTTGACGCGGAATGACAACTTTAATTGTTAAAATATGACAATTTTATCCTAGCTCGTTTTCCTGTCAGAAAATTGTCATGTTTGCTAACTACGCGTGAACTAAAGTTGCCATAAAAAACGTTCAGGTTGTCATGCATAAAATCCGGACGTTCGGGATTTATTATTTTCGTTGTTTTTTACTACACCAACTGCACAATTTTATTTTTGTTGCAAACTAAAAGTTTGCGTGTGCTGATTTCTTTCATTTTGAGTAAGAGTATCAGCGCTGCTGTCGCTGTATACATGCGCCAAAAAGGGAACAATTCTCGTCGCACCTATCCATCGAGAGGAACGGCGCCGTTCGTGCTCAATAAATGCTAAGCAGCAATTAGAGACCTGTCCCAACTTGCAACCCCTGGCGCGTACGTAAACCGCGTGCATGCATGCGGCCGTTGGAGCAAGCGCCGCGGTCGCGGTCAAGCGACCTTTTGTTCTGACCAACAGGGCACGCCGCCTTCGTAGGTCGTAGTAGGTGAGTTCCCTGGCTGAAAGGGTCGCCGGAGAATTTCACCAGACTTCATTTTTTCGACATAAATTTCGCGAGACTTTGCGCCACGCTGAAACAGTCCCTCCCTCCCGGCGGGCTGCTATATTAGGACGAGCAGCGTTGAACTGTTTGCTTAGCACTGCTAGCTCCGGTGCGTGATCTCATCACCATCTCCTCCTCCACCTACTACGTGAGCCTAATCCTCCGGCCGGCCGCGACTACGTCCATTAAATCCTGCTTCCGCGGCGCGCTCTGGCTGCGCATCTTGGCTGGCCGGTTGACTTTGTTGGGGACGGGCGAGCTCTAGCTGGAGCCGGCGGCCGGCCATGCATAACTACGGAGGCGGCGGCGGGGCGGGGGACATCGTGGAGGCGGGCGGCGAGAGGGCCGTGCTGCCCCACAGCGGGCCTCTGGTCGGGAAGCGCGCCGCCACGCGGAAGAGCGCGCGGTTCGCGGACTCCGTGTCCGCGCCGCTGCGCCGCGGGAACCACCACCATGGCCAGGACGACGACGACGACGACTACGTGGAGGTCACCCTCGACGTGCGGGACGACTCGGTGGCCGTGCACAGCGTCAAGCCGGCGCCCGGCGGCGAGGAGGACCCCGACGTCACGCTGCTGGCGCGGGCGCTGGAGACGCGCTCCTCCTCGTACGGCGGCAGGGCCCATGGCGGCGGCGTGCTCCGGAACGCGTCGACAAGGATCAAGCAGGTGTCGCAGGAGCTCCGGAAAATCGCGTCCGTCAAGCGCCGCCCCAGCCGCATCGACCGGTCCAAGTCCGCCGCCGCGCACGCGCTCAAGGGGCTCAAGTTCATCAGCCGCCCCGACGGCTGGCCCGCCGTTGAGAAGCGCTTCGACGAGCTCGCCGAGAACGGCGGCCTCCTCCACCGCTCCAAGTTCGGCAAGTGCATCGGGATGAAGGAGCTCGCCTTCGCCGGCGAGCTGTTCGACGCGCTCGCCAGGCGCCGGGACATCTCCGGGGACAGCATCAGCAAGGCGGAGCTGCTCGAGTTCTGGGACCAGATCTCCGACACCAGCTTCGACAGCCGCCTGCAGACCTTCTTCGACATGGTGGACAAGGACGCCGACGGCAGGATCACCGAGGCGGAGGTCGGGCAGATCATCGGGCTCAGCGCCACCGCCAACGACCTCAAGAAGATCACGGAGCGCACAGAAGAGTACGCCCGGCTCATCATGGAGGAGCTCGACCCCGACAACCTCGGCTACATCGAGCTGTCCAACCTGGAGACGCTGCTGCTGCAGGCGCCGCCGACCCAGCCGACGCGGGGCGGGAGCGGGACGACCAGCAGCCGTAACCTCAGCCAGATGCTGAGCCAGCACCTCAAGCCGACGACGGAGCCCAACCCGCTCCGCCGGTGGTACCGCCGCGCCAGCTACTTCCTGGAGGACAACTGGCGCCGTTGCTGGGTGATCATCCTGTGGTTCTCCATCTGCGCCGGCCTCTTCGCCTGGAAGTTCGTGCAGTACCGGCGGCGCGCCGTGTTCGAGGTGATGGGCTACTGCGTGTGCGTCGCCAAGGGCGGCGCCGAGACGCTCAAGTTCAACATGGCGCTCGTGCTCCTCCCCGTGTGCCGCAACACCATCACGTGGCTCCGCAACCGCACCGCCGCGGGGCGGGTCGTGCCGTTCGACGACAACCTCAACTTCCACAAGGTGATCGCCGCGGGGATCACCGTCGGCGCCGGGATGCACATCATCTCCCATTTGGCGTGCGACTTCCCGCGGCTGCTGCACGCCACCGAGGAGGAGTACGAGCCGATGAAGCCTTTCTTCGGCGACGTCAAGCCGCCCAACTACTGGTGGTTCGTCAAGGGCACGGAGGGGTGGACGGGGCTGGTGATGCTGGCGCTCATGGCCGTCGCCTTCACGCTCGCCACGCCGTGGTTCCGCCGCGGCAGGGTCCGCCTCCCGGGGCCGCTCAGCCGGCTCACCGGGTTCAACGCCTTCTGGTACACGCACCACCTGTTCATCATCGTCTACGCGCTGCTCATCGTCCACGGCCACTTCCTCTACCTCACCAAGAAGTGGCAGAAGAAGTCGACGTGGATGTACCTGGCGGCGCCGATGGTCCTGTACGCGTGCGAGCGGCTGGCGCGGGCGCTCCGGTCCAGCGTGCGGCCGGTGAAGATACTCAAGGTCGCCGTGTACCCCGGCAACGTGCTGTCGCTGCGCTTCTCCAAGCCGCAGGGGTTCAGGTGCAAGAGCGGGCAGTACATCTTCGTCAACTGCGCCGCCGTCTCGCCGTTCCAGTGGCACCCGTTCTCCATCACGTCGGCGCCGCACGACGACTACATCAGCGTCCACATCAGGACGCTCGGCGACTGGACCCGGGAGCTCAAGAGCGTCTTCGAGAAGGTTTGCCGGCCGCCGACGGACGGGAAGAGCGGGCTGCTCCGGGCAGAGTACGCCGGTGACGGCGGTGCCATGCCCAGCCCGAGCAGCTTCCCCACGGTGCTGATCGACGGGCCGTACGGCGCGCCGGCGCAGGACTACAAGCAATACGACGTGGTGCTGCTGGTGGGGCTGGGCATCGGGGCCACGCCCATGATCTCCATCATCAAGGACATCATCAACAACATGAAGCGGCTCGACGGCGACATCGAGTCCGGCAGCCCCAGCGACAGGAGCGTGTCGGCGGCGTCGTTCCGGACGCGGCGCGCCTACTTCTACTGGGTGACGCGGGAGGAAGGCTCCTTCGACTGGTTCCGCGGCGTCATGGACGAGGTGGCCGAGAGCGACAAGAAGGGCATCATCGAGCTCCATAACTACTGCACCAGCGTCTACGAGGAAGGGGACGCCCGGTCGGCGCTCATCGCCATGCTCCAGTCCCTCAACCACGCCAAGCACGGCGTCGACGTCGTCTCCGGCACACGCGTCAAGACCCACTTCGCCCGGCCCAACTGGCGCAAAGTCTACAAGGACATCGCCATCGCCCACGCCGGGCAGCGCGTGGGAGTGTTCTACTGCGGCGCACCGGTGCTGATCAAGGAGCTGCGCCAGCTTGCCCAAGATTTCTCGAGGAAGACGAGCACCAAATTCGAGTTCCACAAGGAGAATTTCTAACTTTGCAGCCAGCCCAGTTTCTCTTTTCGCGAGGAAAACTCTGTTAATTCAGTACATACCCAGTTCTATAGATCGAAGTAGGTGTTGGTTGATTTTGACAAGTTGGGTCAAGAGTTTCATCGATTTTTTTTGCCTATAGAAGAATAATATCCAATGCCCCCTTGTACTGATATTCCCTTCTAAAAAAATATACAATTAACACTTCAGGTGTATGTACACATACAACTAAAAAAAACACAATAGTTATATGCAAGTTGACTGAATTTGCAATTTGAATAAGTTGATCTTGTGAGAGGAGAAATCGGTTGGAGGCGAAAGAAAAGCTAGAGGAAGAAGAAAGAAGGATGACCGTTAAATCTTAATCTAATGGTCCAAAAATAATTCAAATGTATAGTCAGTCCTAAAAAGGGAAAAATATGCTAAACTTCATAGAGACTTATGGTGTGTATGTCATCACAACCGATGTTCTTCATGAAAAATCATATACTTATGAGCCATCTTAGGCCTCATGCAATGCAAGGTGCTTAGAGCGGTACCACATCGATCTCTATTCACCAATGTAAAATGTCTTGGCAGTTCAAGTACTTAGTGGCATGATTCGGTTGTTGCCGCTCAGGAGTTAGGAGCAAGGCAGACGAACCTTATCCTCTTGCGCCCGTCGCTCCCGCGAACCGCGGCTAGCAGCTCCGAACCCGGTCACCCCCGCTCCTCTCCCTGCTCCCTGCTCCTCGCCATCGCCAAAAGGTGTCGGCGGGCGCAGCCTTGCTCGCATCGGTGGTGGCGGGTCTTCCTTCTACCCTCGTGCGGCGGCGAAGGCGTGGGTCCAGGCCAGTCAGTAGGGGCACGGTGCTTCAGGCGAGGCACAACCTACTTCTACTAGGTGACGAGGGAGGAAGGCTCCTTCAACTAGTTCCGCGGCGTCATGGACGAGGTGGCCGAGAGTGACAAGAAGGGCATCATTGAGCTCCATAACTACTGCACTAGCGTCTACGAGGAAGGGGGGCGCCCGGTCGGCGCTCGTCGCCATTCTTCAATCCCTCAACCACTCCACGCACGCCATCAACGCCGTCTCCCGCGCCCGCATGAAGACCCACTTCGCCCGTCCAAACTGGCGCAACGTCTACAAGGACATCAACCCTTAAGCACACGTAGCGCGTTGGTGTTGATCAAGGAGCTGTGGCAGCTTGCGCAAGATTTCTCGAGGAAGACGAGCAACAAATTTGAGTTCCACAAGGAGAATTTTTAGTTTTTGCAGCCAGCCCCAGTCACAAGAAGTTTTTCTTTTTGCAAGAAAAATTGTGTCAATTTAGTACATACATCAAAGTAGATATTGGTTGATTGCAATAAGTTGGGTAAACCATTACATCTGTTTTTTTTTTGCCTCCAAGAATAATCCAAATGCCCTTTGTACAGGTATTTCTTTTAAAAAATAGTACTAGCCCTGATATATGTACGCACACACAACGAACAAAAGTGCTAAACTTCGGAGAGACTTTCAAGAAAGTATGGGTCTCATTCCACGTGCATAGCGATGTAGCGGTTTTTCGATGTCGGCCCCTTAGGATTTTGACATTAGGAAAGAAGAGGGTTGTTTGATTAATTGATAGAAGACCGGACAAAAACCGTTACCCACGTAGAGCAACACTGGTCAATCTGGGCCATCCACATAAAGACACGACAACACTGGAGAGAAGAAAAACAAAGGCGAGGTCGTCACCAAGCGTCATCGTCAACACTCCTCCATGAGCTAGCGACTCCGACTTTACCATCGACTTCCACCAACAAAGTCCTCGTCGCCGCAAACGCCGGAATCAGTGTCAGTCAATGCCAAATAGTCGCCCACCGGTGCAAGTCAGGCGCCCAGACAACTCCGACTATGAAGACAACTGAAACACAGGAGAAATGGGCAGAGTTTGCGCCAACCAACACCTCCTTGAAGACCACTTGCCACCAATCATGGTCACCACCTAGGCACCTCAAGGGTAGTCCTGGCCATGGGAAACCCGGCCCGGCCCGAAAAAGCCCGACCCGGCCTGGCCCGACGCTGCCCCCGGGCCGGGCTTGGGCCTAGTTTTTGAGCCCGAAGGCCGGGCCTGGGCCCATCGTTTTTGCCATTTTCTGAAGGTCGGGCCGGGCTGGCCCGAAGCCCGACGTGCTTTTACGTGCTTGGGCTGGGCTCGGTCCCAGAAACACAGGCCCGATGGCCGGGCCGGGCCCGGGCCTGAGTTTTTTGTGTCGGGCTTGGCTAGGCCCCGCCCGAAGCCCGGCCCGGCCCGAGGTTTGGCCAGGTATACTCAAGGGCAGCTCCGACAAAGCAACAACATGGTGAGACCCAAAAGTGACATGTCGAGTACGTCGGAAAAAATCTGACAACCAAAGCATTGTCGCAACCCTATACTGCTGGCCATCATCATCATTGCCAAACTAGACATACACCACCACATTGTCGGTCTTGTGTCTGCCGACCGCACTGCCATGAGCATGTAGCACATAGAGAGTGCGAATGAGATCCCAAGTCTTCAATACGACACCCCAAAGGGGGAAGCGACAATGCCGTCGTCGTCACCCGACCTGACTGGGCATTAGGTTTTCACCCGAAGAACTGGATCTGGGGATGTGCAGGGAATGGATTCCACGCCGACGCCTCAAAGAAGGTGAAACAACGTCCATGGACACCGACCGCCGACAAGAGCCCGATAAGGTTTAGTAGTCTGGAGCACTGCCCAACCCAACACCCGCGCGCACCGCAGCCCCGCTAGACCGACCGCCTCCCGCGAAGCCGATGCACTGACACATGCAAGATAAACCATCTTCTCACCACCAACTAAAGCTAACAAACCAGATCCATCCGCCCAATCAGATCCAGCATCCTCCCGCGATAGCATCGCCAAGCCCGTCAGCCATCTTCCCTCCCTTTTTCCTTGCGTAGGTTACACCTTTGAAATACCCCAAATGGGGATTTCGCTCTATTCCTCCAATCTTCACTTTACACCATGTCAGACTCTCCATCATGGTATTAGACCAAGAGTCAAAGACCCATACCATGCGACCCCGTCTTCAGTATCTTATCGTTTTCGCATAGGAGGTTGAGACACAACCTTAGGGCTAAGGGGAAAGTGGATCGATTGCCCTAGAAGGGCACGCTCCAGCCAACATGAGACCAGGCCGCCACCCCGCCATGCTAACCCGGGCAGATCCAGTGGGACTGGGACAAAGGCAGTGACGCAGCCATGAGTTCCTAGAGCCACCTCCATAGGACAGGAGCAAACAACCTGGTGTCTGCCAGACCGGGCCCAAGGAGCCGCCGCACCGCGTGATAGAAGTCGCCGACGCGGAGCAAAGCAATGCGCAGATCGGGAGGAGGGCCTCCCCCACCATGGTAAACACTAGGGCGCGCGAGCAAGCTCCTCGCTGCTGCCGCCGCCGCCACCTCCAGCTAGCATCCTTCGGCGACGGCAGGGAGAGTCCAGGGAGGGGTCGGCAGCGGTGGCGGGCTAGGATTCCGCCTGTGCCGTCACAGGACCGACATGTGTGTGTGCGCGCGCGCGTGTGTGCGTGTGCGTGTGGGTGTGCATGTGAGCGTTGCTCCACAACTAACTGATCGCATAAGATGTCCCAAAACAATACTACTCAGTTTTATGTGTTCACATACGGGCTCACACGTCAATTAATATGTTCCAACCACTCGAGTCCAATCATGCAAACTATGATTAGCTTGACGTTTGGTGGCGTTGGTTGAGTTCGTGGATTAGTCTCTGCGAATTTCCCTTGTAGATACGCAGAATTAGCCGAAAGTACCTTTCTGCTCCCAAGCTCATTTGAACTCGGTGAACAGTAAAATTGAAAAAAAATCGAAGAAAATTTAAAAATTTCCAATTTTTTTTGAGGAGAAACATTGACAAAAGTTCCAAATGCTTGCAAAAATTCATCATAAAATCACATTCCTGTAAGGCGTGGCAAAAAAAAAAAAAACAAATTCAGGCTCCAGAATACTTTTGAAAGTAGCATTTTCAGAGTATCGATTTTGTTTTTTTTGCCACGCCTCCTAGAAATGTGATTTCATAAGAATTTTTGCAAGCACTTAAAACTTTTGTCAATGTTTCTCCCAAAAAAAATTTAGAATTTTTTAAAATTTTGTCGATTTTTTTCCGATTTTACTGTTCACCCGAGCTCAAATGAGCTCGGTTGCAGAAACTCAACGTCCAGAATTAGCTAGTTTTAGCCATCACTGCCAAACAGACAGCTGCTATACATATGCATGTACTGATGTGTCAATTCTTCTTTTTTTTGAACATCAGTACAGACAGAAACGCTCATGTACATGCGCATACACTCACCCCTATGAACGCACACACGCACACCCTACCCATATGAGCACCTCCGAAAGACTGAGGCGGCATATCAACTTGAGATTTACAAAGTCACCATAGGCGCCTCGTTGTCGACGGGAACGTCTCCTCCCACTGAATGTGCATCGCCGAAAATCCTGAAATAAATCCAGGAATAAATGCGAGCACCAGGATTTGAACCCTGGTGGGCTGGAGATACCACAGTCCCTCTAACCATCCAACCACAGGTTGATTCGTATGTGTCAATTCTTCTATGTTGTCAGCCAACTTGCGTGCTTAATTAGTACTAGAAGCATACGCGTGCCTTGCCGCGCCGTTTTCTCTAACCATTACACAATAATGACGCATACATTCAGACAAAAATTCTTTGAACTGGACATAAATAAAAGGTTGCATTACCGAAGCCAATACCAAATTCAAAATGACAGTGCAGAGAAAAATAGAGTCCGATCGGTTTATCTAAGCTATCTAACTAATTTCAATCCTTGAAATACCATCCGTGTCTGTTGCCTTAGTCGTATTAGTGGATTACAGTGGAGTTCTTCTCCATGTTCTATTTGCAAATTTGTGTCTTCCTGAAACATCCAAAAATAAGAAATAAGCAAAGCCACCATGAATTCAATTAAATTGCAATACTGAGGTGGTGAGTAG